CGCATAACGGTGCCTCCCACTCCTAACCCACCGAGACGCCGCAGCATGATACCGTGGTCTACAGTATCAAAAGCCGCTGAGAGGTCCAAAAGAACAAGGACAGAGGAATAACCTCTGTCCCGGGCCCTCCAGAGATCATTAACCAACGCGACCAATGCCGTTTCCGTGCTGTGTCCCGGCCTGAAGCCCGACTGGTATGAAGGTGGTGCATAGATGGAACCAATTACAGTTCTCCATCATCCGTAACGTGACTCAATATTCTGTTTCTGTTCTTTCCAACCACACCAGGAACTTCTTGCAAGACGAAAATATATTCGTTTTTATGATAATAATGGGCAGAAAGGCTATGAAGCTTTTTGTTTTTTACAAGAAACCTATTCATGTGTTGAATGAATACATCCCTTTCCTATTTATTCTAAAGCTAAATATGGTTTACAAGAAATAATACAAATCTTCCCATATGGCTGAGCAATATCCTCAGATTTTGTTACATAAGGTGCATTTTGCCTTGGGAATTCGTGGCAGGAAAGAAGACTGATCTTAGCAGGCATAAACCAGAAACAAAGCCGCAATCATTTAAATGTTCTCAAATTTTAATGACTGGCAGGCTGAATAGGTTGCCAATTAAAAAAAAATCCTTGAAGTCACAAAGGACAAAAATCATGCTAAACAGAAAACAAATAAAACACCAAAGACAGGAATGGTTTCAGTCAAACAAAACCATCTTATTTATTTTATATTTCAAATGTTGAAACTACCGACCTCACACAGAAAGCAACCTAAATAACAGTTTTAAAGCTGAACTTTTTTGAGTAAGTAGAAACATGTCTAGAATTGTTAGATCTCAAAAAAACCGGTTTGAAGTTTCCATTAATCAGGTATAATCTTGCTGTGTCTTTTGGAGGAGGTCAATTGGCTACTTAAACCCTGAGGTTTGATGCTGTCCCCAGCCTCCTGTGCGCAGCATTTTTCCAACCACAATTGCTGAGAACTGGCACTAGCCAAAGTCCCCTGACCTCCATCCATTTTCATCATCACAGAATGCACAATTATATTAATTCCAGCAGGGACCTCAATTCTTCATTAACCAGAGTTAGGAATTTTTATAAGTACCTTAGTATCCAATATTTGTTTGGATTTTTCATCTTCTAAGCACTAGGGAAGGGGGTGCATTAGAAGCCTGAAAGCTCAAGTGAAATCACGGCGCATGGGATAGAGGGCTATCTAGATCAGGAGTGTCAAACTCAATTTCATTGAGGACCGCATCAGCATTGCGGTTGCCCTCGGGGGGCGGGCGGGTATGTCCAGGGTAGGTGCGGTCTACTGGGTGGACGTGGATGGAGTGGGAGTGGCCTACCGGGTGGGCATGGCCAGCTCTACATCGTTCGCGTCAAGGGTGCCTGTGGGGGCCTGGGCAGGAGTGGGACAGATCTGAGGGTCTCTGGCAGAAGGGGGTGGGACCGGGGCAAGCGCCAAGGCATGGTCCATTTCTTCCTTCCTCACAAAGGGTACACTTCCCCAGCATGCACCCAGGGGGCGGGGCCGTTGCAGCAGGGGCTGGTTCCTCGCTGTTTCTAGACGGCCTTGTGGAGCTAAGACTGAATGCATTTCAGCATAGATGGCCACCACAAAATAGTACATTGGCTCCCGGCCGGCCTGGGACAGGGCCAAGGTAGCGGGGGCCATTGCCTCACTGTTTCCAGGATGGCTTCGCGGGCCACATGAAACCACTTCGCGGGCCGCATCCGGCCCCCGGGCCTTGTGTTTGACATGTCTGATCTAGATCTTCCTCCAACCTCTTCCATGACCCCAATTAATTCATATCAAACAGCCAGAGGGAAGGAAGGAACAGCTGGAGATGATTACTCTGGGAACACGTCTGCTTTATACTCAGTCCATTACTAGCTCATCTCTAGGCCCAACCATTCTACTTTGGAAAAAAGGATATAGGGTTGATCGGGAAAGCTAAACAGGGTCAAACCTGTTCAATATTTAGATCAGGGGTAGTCAACCTTGGCTCTTTTATGACTTGCACAGCTGGCTCAGGAATTCTAGGAGTTGAAGTCCACGAGTCATAAAAGAGCCAAGGTTGACTACCCCTGATTTAGATGGAAGACAGTCTGGATATCCTAGACTAGGACGTTAAAGAAGGCAATAACAAATCACCTGTCACTGGATGAAGCCATCAGTGGAACTTGACTCAAGGGCATCTTTCCAGCATGATGCACGGGCCAAGCCGCTAGGGGTAGGTTCTCGTGACACACCCAGTTTTGGCTTATGCTAATTAGGGGTAAAAGAGGTAAGCATATAAATAACTGCTGACAGCAATCTGCCCGTTTCTTTCTACTGCAACTAAAGTCTTGGGTACTATTGAGTGACCAGCTTGCTGGTTAGCCTATTTAAACAAACAAAAAACAAATACTGCCACCATACATGGCAGTGGGGAAAGGCCACCTTAAGTTGTCTACAGGTGGAGGAGATGTAACCAAACCAGAAATCAAACAGAATTGCTGGAGAATCAATTCTGGTTTGTGCCTAGTCTTACCACTCAGCTCAGTATCCAGATGCTAGGATTTAATTATTGTTTGTTTACTCACTGGGATTGGGCAAAACCCAAAGTCATGAACGAAGTAAATTACTTTAATGCAAACCATGGCACTGGATTGCTTTGAAGCAGAATTATAAAAATGTTCCCTATGATTTGTTCTAGAAAGCCCAAAACATTATCCTTCTCCTTCAGGATTAGATGTTAGAACTGAGGTAGGGCAGCAAAATATGTAATCCAAAAGAAAGAGAAGTGAAAGAAAAAGAAATATACCCTTGTATATTGTTGTAAACATGTGTTTGAAGGAGACATCATTTTCTACGAGCATAAAATAACAATATTGATTTTACTGTATCGCTTAATTCTAGTCTCAATTTCCTATTATTGCTATCGAAAAAGAGCAGAACAGAGATCTAATATCTGGAAAAGCCAATTCTTTAGCCAAAGGATTACCAACTGCTGAACCTCTTGCTTTATCAAATACATCTAATTGGGCATCTTATTTAAGTCACTACTTCTCTGGGTTCTAAACTAAAGACACGCAAAAATAGTATCAAAAGTCACTCAGGCACAGAAAGCGTTCACATACAATAAGGAAAATACTCTGCCGCTGATGGGTATATTAAAAAAAAAAGGACAATAAAGCACCATTGCATTTAAGGAAAATCTGTAGGTACTTTATTCACAGAAGATTAAAAAAGAAATTTGTAGCTCCAGAGGAATGAAGAAATATAGAGAAGAATGTCACTGCAGAATTAAGTGTTATTGAATATTTTTAATACAGAGACGACATGCAGAACCTACGAAAGAAAAGTATATGAGGCTATAAACAAAATCCATGGCAGTGATGTTGCCCTCATCTTAATATTCAACCATAAATGGAAGAATTCAGTAATCCTCAACTTAGTGACTGTTCAAAGTTGTGACCTACTGGAGTTATGGCCTTGCTCCGAAGCTCTGACAGTCGGTCCCAACCCCGCACTTCAGATGCTACGCAACATGGACACATTTAAAGCTATTTGCACTGTCCTGTGGCTAGGTGACTGCATTTTACATTTTTGCCAAAACCCGGAAGTTACTTCTTGTTTTTGATAAAACCGCGATAGCAAACAATGGGTTCATTTAACTGTCATGTTTGCATAACATCAGCTACATTAACGACTACCGCAAAAAAAATCATAAAATCAGGTCGGTCATGTGATCAACCTGATCTATTACCATTATTACCCGTATTAGCAACTTACCCTATAGTAATATTTCATCAATGTACAGATCCAGGCTGTATATGGTATTTGGTGGGATTACAGTACTTAAGTATACCGTACAGTTCAAAACAGAAATATAAAGAAGCTTCCAGAGATAATCCTACTGTCACCTCATATCTGAGCATTTCTGTATAGAAATTAATTTCACAAAGAAAAATTAAGTATACATCAAGCTGGTAAGTTTCAGAGTAGAGTGAAGTTATCAGAAAGGAGAGCTGGATGGAATAGAATCAGGCCTACTCTTTCCAGCACTCAACTCTGGACATAAATCACCTAACAGATTTTCTACATAGCTGTCGCTATCATATGAAATGTCATGCACTTTATGACTTGTGACCTATGCATGGAACAGCCTGAATTAGAGTTGTAAACAACAACATGCTTGGTCGCCTATAGCAATGAAACAGAAGCCCCATACTCACTATGACACTTCAGTGCCCACTATTGAGTTTAAAGAGATTAACGTCAAATAACATCATACCCAACATGAATGTAATCAGCCACACAAAAACCTATTGATGATTAAACAAAAATGCATTCTTTTTAGTGCATAAAAGTTTGCATGAACACTGCTAGTAAGATTTATAAAGTCTATTTGTATGGGGTTATCCAATGCTTTCTGAAATAGTCTAGCATTTATATACATTCACTGGTATTTCTGATAAGATTCAATAGATATTTATTTCACACGATTCAAGATTTGTAGTTTCCAATAGGAAAACAGCATTACTATGTAGAAGGTTAGTTATCTGCAAAGTAACTCTTCAAGAGAGCCACAATATTAACTCTGTTTAGCCATTTAATAAAAATTAGTCCTACTAGGATCAGGATTGGTTCTAATACACCAGCCTCTTCATCAGTGCTGTATGAACATTCTCCGTTTACTCTGTTATCCAACACTGAACTATTTAGTCACCAAATTAAAGGGATTCTAATCACAGGAAGAAGTAGAATTGCTGTATAGAAAGTTTCCCCAGAAGTTTGTGAATTGAGGGAAGCACCCTCATAATAAGAATATTAACAGCACAAAATAATCTTGACCACAGTCAATCAACTCAACACTGATCAGATTTATGTCTACATATTTCTACTTGGCGATTGGCAAGTACATTTTCCACAAAAATATTTTAGATATTAGATACAGAGTCTTCCTAGGACATTCACAACTTACGTGTGTCTTTCTCGGTCACTGCTCTCATATTCCAAGATGACAATCAGACGTGGGTAATGGCTGCAGATGTCACCATTCACATTGTGGATCAGGCTGTAGCAATAATCCCTGCTGAACAATTCAAGGCAGCATTTTTCAATGTGTTCTACCTGTATGGGTAAAAACAGTTATTACAAATGTAATGCTGCACGTCTCATAAAAGTACTTATACCAGGGGTGTCAAACTTGCAACATCACGTGACATGTCATGACGTATCGCAACTTTTTTTCCATTGCCGGCAATGGGGTGGGTGCAGTTTTGCTATGATGCATCCGGCCCGTGGGCCGACAGTTTGACACCCCTGTCTTATACATTCAAGTGCAATAGCCTTAATTTTAGATGCTTAACAACCCAAAAAAGGATGCAACTAAACACCAATATTTAATATTAAAATACAAAAAATTAAAGCATTTTCCCATGGATTTGCAAGGTAGTAGCCATATTTATTCATGAAATAGCGTTCATTTGAAATGCTTATCATTCAAAAGACTAACGTTTATTGGTAATTGGCAAGGAAACCTTTAAATAGAAATGGGTCGTTACACAAATACTAGAATAATTTCCCCACAAACATCAGGGTTCATGAGATGAAACTGGAATCTACAGTGTTAGGATGTCTGCACTGAATAGTTCCTAGCAAATTAGGGAACAATGTCCACGACTTCATACAACAACAAAAATCCCCCAGCTGCTTTTCAGTTCTCTAATTTTTTCAGGAAGCGTCAAAAAAAACAAAAAAACATAAATTTGAGGCAAACACTCCCTTAAAAACAAGAACGGCAGAACAAAAGAGAACCTTTCTATCAGGGACGTGTACGTAATAATGCAAGACCGCCTCCTACCAAACACCTCCCTTCGACCAGTCCGCTCCCACAGAGAGGGCCTCCTTAGGGTGCCGTCGGCCAGACAATGCCGGCTGGCGACCCCCAGGGGGAGAGCCTTCTCTGTGGCAGCTCCTGCCCTCTGGAATGACCTACCCCCCCCCCCCGACCTACGTACAGTTGCGGACCTGCGCCTTTTTCGCCGAGCCCTGAAGGCCCATCTATTCCGTGCGGCTGGCCTGGCGTAGTTTGATTATGTTTCAGTGGGGTTTTTTGTATGGGTGTGTTTTTAGAACAGGTCTGTTATTTAATTCGATTTTAGAACAGAAATCTGTGTATATTTATCGTGGTTTTTATTATCGCCTGTTCACCGCCCTGAGTCCCGTAAGGGAGATAGGGCGGTATATAAATTCAATAAATAATAATAATAATAATAATAATATAATAATAATATAATAATAAAAATAAAATAATAATAATAATAATAATAGTAATAATAATAATAATAAAAATAATAAAATAATAATAATAATAATAATAATAATAATAAAATAATAATAAATAATAATAAATAATAATAATAATAAATAAATAAATAAATAATAATAATAATAATAATAATAATAATAATAATAATAATAATAATAATAATAATAATAATAATAATAAAAATAGCAACAAATAAGGCGCCGCTTCTTTAATAGGTATGCAACGTGCAGACGACCACACTACTATGCAAACCTTCCTTAAATGCTCAAACTTAAATCGGCTGATCTATTTCTCTGTCCTTAAGGCTGGCTTATTGCTCCAAGTTCCCAGCTGCGGAAAAGCAACACACCCTTTCTCCGTAGGGCAGTTTTGAAAGTCCCGCTCAAGAGGCTTCCCAGGTTGGGTCTGTACGCAGCCTTGGCGACACCCGGAGCCTCCCCCGTCCCCGTCTTAAGGGGCCAATGCATGGCCCTGCCGGGAAGGCTGGTGCCACGGAGCAGTCCCGTGAAAGCCTCGCCGGCTGCTCCCGGCGCAGGCGGGACGCCTCTTCCTTCCCTCACCTTATTATTGCCGCTGCTCCCGGCGCTGCCGCCTGCTGCTCCCCCGCTTTCCCGGGCCCGGTACTGCGCCCTGGAAAACTCCAGCAGCAGCTCGCCCAAGGCGCGCTCCCCGGAGCCAGCGGCCTGCAGACAGGCGGAGCCGCTCCGGGCACTGGCCATCCGCACCTCCGCAGTCACGGGCCCGAGCCCCGGACTCTCTGCCCCAGCGCCTCCGCCATCCCCAAGCTCCTTCCGCTTCCGGACAGGCGACGATGACGCCATTAGAAGGCGACAGGACCTTCCCCGCGAGCCCGCCTGGAGGGAACTCGAAAGCGCCCTCCCGTTCGCCGCCGCCGCCGCCACCCCTTTACAGATGACAGGGGAGGGCGTGGCTGGGTCTCTGGTGGGCGTGGCTGGAAGTTTGGAATCCTCCAGAAATGTGAGGGTGGGGTGAGACTGGGACTGTGTTGTAGCAGAGCCTAGGACCCTATTTCTGGCTGGGGAATTATGGGATATCCACACACCTTAAATGTCTATGGCAGTGTTTCTCAACCTTGACAATTTTAAGGCATGTGGACTTCAACTCCCAGAATTCCACAGCCAGCAATGCTGGCTGTGGAATTCTGGGAGTTGAAGTCCACATGCCTTAAAATTGTCAAGGTTGAGAAACACTGGTCTGTGGCAGGGGGTCTTCAAACTTGGTCCTTTTATGACTTGTGGACTTCAACTCCCAGAATTCCTCAGCCAGCATGCCTGGCTGAGGAATTCTGGAAGTTGAAGTCCACAAGCTGAGGAATCCTGGGAGTTGAAGTCCACAAGTCATAAAAGGGCCAAGTTTGAAGACCCCTGGTGTATGGAAATTCCCAGTCATCCATGTCATGGATGTCCCAAAGGTGCTTTTTCAAGAGGCAACTGGACCTTCTTGTTTTCTTTGAAGACGTTTCGTTTCTCTGAGCTGAAGAAGCTTCTTGGATAAGAAGCTAAAGGTCTTCAAAGAAAAACAAGAAAGTCCAGTTGCCTCTTGAAAAAGCACCTTTGGGACACACAGTTTAAAGCCACTAAGGTTGAGAAGGGCTGATGCCATGGTCTAGCTAGCCTACACACCATATTATCCTGAAAGCTGAGTTTCTATAATGACCTGATGCCCCATTGCAGCTTAATCTAACATGGTTTGTTATGCTATCCCCAGCCAGAGAGAAGTCAAATATTTAAAAAAAGAGATGCAAGGGAATTGGATGCAGGTTATTTTAATGCAGGGAGGGGAAAGCTATGAGATGTCACCATCCTAACATCTCTCAACAGGTTCAGAATCTGTGTGGCCAATGGTGCAAAATACTGAGAGGTGAAATTCAGCGACATGTGGAAAGTCATAAATGGCTCTGCATCCTTCAGGGTCATTTCTTCATCTGTTACTGTTACTTCATTCTGTTAACTTCAGTTGCTGACTACGATAGCAGAGGCACTCAGTTCCAAGGCTGTTTGATAATGAGCGGGTAGTAGATTATAGAAGAATAACAATGTTATATTAATGGAGAGATGAATTATTGGAAGATTAGCTTGGCTTACTTTGCTATTGCTAACTTTGTGGGTGTGCCTTCAAGTCACTTTAACTCCTTATCAACTGCCTGGACTAGACCTTGCAGTTTTCCTGGCAACGTTAGCCATTGTCTCCTTCCTAAGATTGAGAGAGAGGGACTGGCCCACCTCACCCAGCTGGCATTAGGCTTAAGGCTGGCACTAGAACTCACAATCTCCCAAGTTTGTAGCCTGGTGTCGTCTATGGAGATTCTCAGTCATCCAGATCACAGTTATCCCAAAGATGCTTTTTCCCAAGGCAAATGGACTTTCTTGTTTTTCTTCGAAGACGTTTCACTTCTCATCCAAGAAGCTTCTTCAGCTCTAACTGGATGGTGGTGTTGGAAGGAAAAGTCTTCATCCTGGTTCAGTCCAAGCCGGAGATAAACAACATGGCGACTGCTTTAGAAAGAAGGTTGCAGTTTATTGAAGAGGAGAGCCAGATAGAAAGATGGTTCTGGCAGGAAAGAGGGAAAAAAGGGCCGAGCACATGTAGGAAGTGGGTTTTTATACCCTCTGGAGCCTTTTGTTTTGAGTTGCTTCCTGTTCCTGTGGCATGAACTTTGACCTGAGTCTGAGTGTGCTTTTCTGATAGTCTGATGGTGATGGGTTAATCCTGTTATGACCAAAGGTCATATCCTGCTTCCCTGAGGCTGGGGCTGATGACTCTTAGAGTTTGGATGGGGTATGTAGATTTTAGGTCTTTGTCTTCTTAATCTCCTAGCTCTCTGGATTTACATCTGCATATCTATAAGAGCTGGTTTCTGCTTGGGGAAGGAAGACTAGGGGCTATTAAGAAAACTGGGCATACTTTCCTGCCTCTTTAAGATCCTTTGAGGAAATATATTTTTTTCTGCCCTTTTAATATTTCCTTCTCTGGGGGGGCTGACTTCCCACAGTGGGGAATGGAAGCCTGGTGTTCTAAGTACTACTGGAGCAAACTGGCTCTACCTGCAAACTAGCTAGAAACAAAACCTTGATGAATATCCCATTTGGCCTGCTTGCATTGCAACCACTAGATGGTGCGCAAGAACCACTTTGTTGTCTTTCCATTCCTTGAACGAGCATCTTGGTGAACAGCCCTCTTCTAATGGGTTTCTATACAGTCTCTGCTACCCTTCCACAGGAGGGCTGATGCAGCTTACATTGTAAGCTGGAACGTCCCTGGATCAAATATCACCAGTAATGCCAGGGTACCCCTGTTAGCTGCCCAGCTTCTTTGTTTGCCATCCTCTGCACCATCCCGAAAGCATCACCTATAACAGTGGGTCTCAACCTTTTTAATGCCGCGACCCCCAACCGGTCGTAAGTCGAGGACTAAATCAGTCATAAGTCGAGGACTAAACCAGTCGTAAGTCGAGGACTACCCAACCGGTCGTAAGTCGAGGACTTTCCCTGCCCGGGAGCGCCGTGCATGCGTGGTTCCGCCCCCTGCGCCGGCCGAGGCGTAGCTGCCAAGCGGCAGAGACGGAGCAGGCCGACCACCAGCTGGCCCAGCTCAAGGGAGGTAAGGCACCCGCCGGAAAAGGGGGAAAAAAATGGCGGACAGCCTTGCTTGGCGACCCCCGTGAAATGGTCGATCGACCCCAAATGGGGTCGCGACCCATAGGTTGAGAACCGCTGACTTATAAGAACTCTTGGATCTACCTCAAGTGATCTCTAAATGCTAAGTGGTAATGATATAAAACTGCACTGCAAATTGAAATGTGCTGTGTCTCTCATTATCTGCAGACTGTGAAATAGGAGAGAGGCACTCTCAGCATGCCCATATCATAGATCATATTCAGTGACCTGAATAATGCCGTGATGCTCTTCAGCTGAAAACGTTACCAGTGACTGCGTAAAATACAGTTGCTAAGAAAACGACAGTGTGACATGTGAGTTTTAGTGGCCTGGCTTGGCTGCTGTGGTGCAGGCATGAGTCAGTAGGAAGGAAAAGAGGAGAAGAAGCTCTGGTGTAGCCTTGGAGTGCTAAGGGACGGTTGCTGGAATTGGGTATGTCTAGTTTAATGAAGAGAAGGACGAGGGGGGACATGATAGCAGTGTTCCAATATCTCAGGGGCTGCCACAAAGAAGAGGGAGTCAAGCTATTCCCCAAGGCGCCTGAAGGCAGGACAAGAAGCAATGGATGGAAACTAATCAAGGAGAGAAGCAACCTAGAACTAAGGAGAAACTTCCTGACAGTTAGAACAATTAACCAGTGGAACAACTTGCCTCCAGAAGCGGTGAAGGCTCCAACACTGGAAGTTTTTAAGAAGAGACTGGACAACCATTTGTCTGAAATAGTATAGGTCAGTGGTGGTGAACCTACGGCACGGGTGCCAGAGGCGGCACTCAGAGCCCTCTCTGTGGGCACGCGCGCCGTCGCCCCAGTCCTAGGCCTTCAGCTGGGTTTTATAAAATCTTTTCGCTTTAGGCCTCCGCTGCCGTGTACAAAAAAAAAAGGTTCAATCAATCAGTCAATTTCAACTTCTCGCAGGAAAAAAAAAAGATCTTGCAAAGTTGGAATTGATTGATTGAACTTTTTAATCCCACCCAGTCTGCCGTTACCACCGCAGCCACGCCCCACCCAATGGACCACACCCAGCCAATGGGCCACGCCCACCCGGCACCCGACGATGCATAAGTGGGTTTTGGGTTGCAGTTTGGACACTCGGTCTCTAAAAGGTTCGCCATCACTGGTATAGGGCTTCCTGCCTGGGCAGGGGATGGTGGACTAGATGACCTCCAAGGTCCCTTCCAACTTTATTATTATTATTATTATTATTATTATTATTATTATTATTATTATTATTATTATTATTATTATTATTATTATTATTATTATAACCAGGTCAATTGTGGGGCAGAGATAGGCAGCATCCCTGTTGGTCAAGCCTTGTACATAGGTGTTGGGCGGTGGGGGGGGGAGAAGGAACCCTGTCTTAGTTGCTGAGGGAGCTGCTCGTGGGCTGGCCTGTGAAGGGGAAAGAGCCCCTGCCACATTTTAGCAAATGTCGCAGAACATAACTGTTGGAGACCCTCTGTTACTAGATGTTTTGACTAGAGAGAAACAACCTAGAAAGTGTGTGTGTGTGTGTGTGTGTGTGTGTGTGTGTGTAGTTGCAATTTCCTGGCCCTGGAAAGGTAAAGAGGATGAAGAAATTGGTGTAAGTCTTCTCCTTGGCAGAAGAGAAATGAAACCTCAGGCAGAAGGATGAACTACACCTCTAGCTGGAGGGAGGCAGGGAAGGAGGGAGACAGCTGATCGCAGACTGACGCTTGGAGTCTTTGGGGAAGCCCCAGATCAGGAATGGCTGGGCAGAAACCCCCAGAGGGAGGCGCGTCATGCAGTCACGATGCAGAGGGTGGACTGACGAGATCCGGGAAGACAAGACACGCTAAGCACACCACTGCAGTAATACAGCCCATTCCCTCTCTATCTCCATGAAAAATTGCAAGGTGGCGGAGGACGTGTGTGTGTGTGTGGGGGGGGAAATGGTAGTTTAGCAACAGGGGTGGCTATTTGCGAATAGCCCTGAAAAAGAGGCACAAAGAAAGTGACGCCTTTGTACATAGACGCTCCTGCTTGTTGTAAATAGTTGTATGCAGTAAGCGAATAATAAAGTCTCCACTGTCTCTGTTATGTTGCGATGTCCTCCTTCGTGACAAAAGCACACCCAGCTGCCACAGAACCCAGGGTCACATTGTTAACAGTGCATACGTTC